AATTATCGTATCATAACGATCGAAAAAGCATTTCACATCTTAAAGTCTCTACTTTTGAAATCCATAATTCATTAAATGACTTACTGATTCTTTACAAAGCTGCACGGATGCAAATGGAGATGCATCAAATCTAAATTTTTTTTACTAAATTTGCGAAGTTCCATGGAGTAAAATAAAAACCGCATACAAATGCGACTTACAGCGTTTGAAAGCGTGAATCTTTACCTTTAATTTGCGCACTCGATCAGCATTGTGCGATTTTTTTTCACCGAGTTATTCAACTTTGAAGTAAAAATGACCTTTTTTAATTCAATGTTAAATAACTCGGTGAAAAAAATCACACAATGCTGAACGAGTGCGAAAATTAAAGGTAAAGAATTCACGCTTTCAAACGCTGTAAGTCGCATTTGTATGCGGTTTTATTTTACTCCATGGAACTTCGCAAATTTAGTAAAAAAAATTTAGATTTGATGCATCTCCATTTGCATCCGTGCAGCTTTGTAAAGAATCAGTAAGTCATTTAATGAATTATGGATTTCAAAAGTAGAGACTTTAAGATGTGAAATGCTTTTTCGATCGTTATGATACGATAATTTTTGACAAAGTTGCTCTATCTTGAATTTTTAAAAATTATCGATATATTAACGCAGTGTCCGGTCAATTAGTTTGGTGACTGTATATAAGTATATTATATATATATATATATATAATATACTTAAAGTGAAGGGAGAGAGATTTTTTGATAATAAGCAACCTCCCTAGAAAGAATCCAAGGCTGGTTTTATTATCTGACTATGTGAAAATTACTTATGCTATTAAACTATTGATACATATATTTTTATTTCTATATATATATAGAAATAAAAACATACATATATTTTTAACACATACATTTTAAACACATACATTTTAAACACATACATACAAACAATACACATACATTTTAAACACATACATATATTTTTATTTCTATATATATATAGAAATAAAAACATATGTATCATAATAGTTTAATAGCATAAGTTTTCACATAGTCAGATAATAAAACCAGCCTTGGATTCTTTCTAGGGAGGTTGCTTATTATCAAAAAATCTCTCTCCCTTCACTTTAAGTATATTA